CCTAAAGCTGTGAAGCCCAAGGCTGAAGCACCATGAGTACATTTTGGAAGCTGTCCTGACTGTATTCTGCTACTCATCTGAATTAGAGCCTATTGACTTCCCCAGTATGGTTCCCTGTGGTTTGTGAGTTGTGACATCAGATTTTTGACCTAGTGAAGCAGTATGATTGGTGCTGGGAATAGGAAGAGGTACAAAGCATGGTGGACATATCCAAACTCCTGGGAATTGATTTTGTGTTGTTGATATTGTTGATGGGGACAGTTCCCCTTAGTGAAGTTAGTAAAGGTCAGATATAGCCATCCCTCTGTGACCCTTGCTCTTTTTACAGAAGGAGATTTAGATATATAGTTTCTCTAAGCTCTTGCTTTAGTTGTAGCATCAAAGACAAATACAAATGGATAGCTTATCATACCTGGAAGGGAGGGTGTTCCAGTGAGACTTGGGCTCACAAGAGTTCATGGAAGACTTGGCAGTTGACAGGAGGCTGCAGGTCCCCCAGTCATCTGTCAGTGGCATCTATTCTGCTTTCACAAGTCAGTAGGAGAGGTACTAGACTCAACTGGAGATCAACTCAGGAACCAGTCCCCTGTCAAAAGTACTTCTTAACAGAAAGATAATCAATAGCTAGTTGGCCTTCTGTTTAGAAATATTGGACCTGTGGTTTATGCTAATTAGGCTATGCTGCAACAGTGCTAAGTTTTAACTTTGCAGGATACAGTGACCTTGCATAATTATGGGAGAGTAGTGGTTATAGGGTTATCTTTGAAGAACATTGGACTTTTCTAGTCAAAAGACTAGTAGTCTACTCTCGTTTCATACTCATTCAGTGGAAGTTTTGAGGAGCCATGGATTTCAAGAACCTAAACTGGGTCTGCCCAAGGATCCCCCACAGCCATATTTGAATTATTAAACAAGATTTGTGAGAAGCAAACCTTTGTGTATGGAAAACAGTTTGTAAGTTATTTATGAGGAGCAGCCTTTGTCTGCCCCATTCACCCTGGGGCGGTGTATTTGCCTTTCCTCTCGTGACTCCTCAATTATTTACCAGCATTTTCCCCTTTCTCGGTTTCCTGTTCTCACAGTGTCTTGTCAGTGTTTTGGTTCTTTCTTTTCCTCCTGAGTGTTGGCAGGTTTTTTCTTTCTATCTCCTAACATACTCCCTTCTTCTGCCTCCAGCTCTTCTCTGCATATCCTGTACCATCCTAAAGGCAGCTTGGCTTTCCAAGACTGAGAAAGCTGTAAACCTGGGTTCTGGAATGTCTTCTCTTGTGTGGTGCTAGGCAGGACCTGGCTCTGGGAAGCTTGGTCCTTTGGGTTGCAATAAGCAGAATAAATCTTTTCTTCCTAACCTCCAGTGAAATTATAAGAGAAAATTATTAAAAAGGTTGAAGTGCTTATATAAATGTCAGCTGAATTATCTTTCCAGGAGTGAAGATAAGCTGAATCTAGACTAGAACCTCTGTAACTGGGGACTGGCTGCTTTGTAGCTGCCAGAGTAACAACTCCTTTGCTATGAACTCATATTAAGTTTGAAAAGTGACTGACCCAGACATAAAGTGGAAGGACTCTGGGCTCTGGTTTTGTATCTGGAAAGCCTTGAGGAAGGGGAATCAACAGAGAAGCACTGAAGTCTTTTATAATTTTAAAATCAGCATGTGAAGGAAAGCTTAATAAGTATTGTTTGTGTTTATACCAGGAAAACACTCTGATCTTTGTAATTAGCTAGTGTGACCTGCTAATAATTCTTCTTCATAAGGGCAGAGTGAAACAGGAAAGTCTTGGCTCTGACTTGTGGCCACATGGCACAGCAGATTCGAGGCACACTTCATGACTCTGGATTAACCATCTCTTCACACCTGTGATGCCTGGGCTCTCCTCCATTTTGTTGGCATCGACACCTCCAATTTTTGGCTCAGAGTGAAGCTTGCCACAGAAACATTTTTGTGATCAAATTCATTCAGTGATTATTAACACCTAACTATATGCCCAGTCCATAGTGCTACCATAGTGGACAGGAAAACAAAAATGCCTTTTCTGTGGAGATTTGTATTTCAAAAATATAAGAATGATTTTCCAAGTGATTAAGAGTAGAATAATTATTTTTGAGCACTGTCAAGTCAGAACCGACCCATAGCTGACCCTCCTGCAGGTTTTCAGAGGCAGCAAATCGCATGGGAGGAGATTGCCTATCCTTTTGCTGCAGAGCATTTGGTAAATTTGAACTGAGTGCCTTTGAGATTGCAATGCAGCTTCTTGCCACTAGGCTACTGTGGTTGTTGTTGTTATGTGCCATTGAGTCACTTGTGACTCATAGCGAACCTGTGTACAACAGCCCTAAACCCTACTCTATTCCTTGCCAATCTCACTGTCTCCAACACACCTATCTCCATTACCCCAATGACGGAATCAATCCATCTCATTGAAGGTCTTTCCCTCCTGCACTGTCCCTCCACTCTCCCAAGCATGACATCCCTCTCCAAGGATTGGTCCATCCTTGCAACATGTCTAGAGTATGTCAAATGAAGCTTCAGAATCTTTGCCTTCAAGGACCAGCCTGGCTTCGCCCTCTCCAGGACAAACTTGTTTGTTCTCCGAGCAGTCCATGGTATATTCAATACTCTTCTCCAGCACCAAAGCTCAAAGGCATCAGCTCTCCTTCTATCATCCCTAGTCACTGTCCAACTCTCTGAAGCATAGAAAGTGATGGCAAAACCATGGCCTGTATCAGATGCACCAGACTGACATCATTGCTCCTCAGTACCTTGGAGAGGTCTCTGACAGCAGACTTTCCCAATGCAATTAGTCTTTTAATTTCCTGGCTGCTGGTACCAAGAGTGTTGATTATAGAGCCAAGCAAAATGAAGCTGTCAGCAATCTCAGTCTCTTCAACATTTATAATGATGCTGCCAATCGGCCCAGAGGTGAGAATCTTTGTTTCTTGATGTTGAGCTTCAATCCATGTTGAAGGCTGTAGTCCTTGACCTTCTGCAGCAAGAGCTTCAGGTTCTCCTCAGTTTCAGCAAGCAGGGTTGTGTCATCTGTGTATGGAGATTGTTAATGAGTCTACCTCCAATCCTGATGCCACACTTCTCTTTATAGAGTCCAGCCTCCTGGATAATCTGTTCCACATATAGATTGAAAAGATACAGATATAGGACACATTCTTGACACACACCTTTCCCAATTTTAAACCATGAAGTATTTCCTGCTATGTTCTGATGATTGCTTCCTGGTCTAAGTACAGGTTTCGCATCAGCACAATCAGTTGTTCTGGGATTCCCATTCCTCTCAAAGTGAGCCACAGTTTGTTGTGATCCACACAGTCAAATGCTTTTACATAATCATTGAAACACAGACATTCCTCTGGTACTCTCTGCTTTCAGCCAAGATCAATCTGACATTAGCTATAATATCCCTAGTGCCACGACCTCTTCTAAATCCAGCCTACTCTTCAGGCAGTTCTCTGTTGATATGCTGTTCTAGTCATTTTTGGATGATTTTCAGCAGAATCTTGCTTACATGTAATATGAATGATACTGTTCGATACTTTCCACACTCTGTTGGATCACCTTTCTTTGGAATGGGAACAAATATAGATCTCTTCCAGTCAATAGGCCAGGTGGTTGTCCTCCAGATTTCTTGGCACAACTTTGTGACCACATCTGTTTGTTGAAATATGTCAATCGGTATACCATCAATACCTGAGGCCTTGTTTTTTGCAAATTCTTTCAGAGCTCCCTAAAAGTAAGCCAGACTATCCTATAAGTATTTACAGTCAAAGTAATGTCCTTTCAAAACTCCTTTTCTCTCTTACTTCAGGCAGGAACATAAAGTAGATAGGGAACTACTCTGTGAAATCTATGGCGGTGGGGGAAAGGGGTAGAAATGATGTCATTGGGCTCTAGCTTCCTGAGTTTTTCTGACGTTTTGTAAAGAGGGCTCAGCATGTGAATAAAAGGTAGCCTTTACAGCAACAACGATATTTGCAAGGAAGATTGCAGTTACTGCATGGGGAAAACAGTGTCCAGTGTGACCTTTTGAGGAAACTGTCTCCTTGTTCCAAGATACTAATTGAACTTGGGGAATGAAATATAGAATAAGAGTCTTGACTCAGAGATTTGAACCTTAAATTTTTGGCTATACTAATGGTATACAATAGAACTTTCTGTAAATGATGGAAATATGTTCTGCACTGACCTTTTCTATAGTTACTAGATACTAAAACAGACCTGACAGTAGCCTTTCAGAGTTGTTTGTGACAGTCTTACCATGAATATCACTAGGTTCAGCAACCTGAGACTATGAGATGAGAAAAGGGGAAAAAAGGAGTATTTCTGTTGTTCCCCTTCTAGCATTAGTCCAGCATTTCTACTGAACTAAGGCTCATTTTATTGTTCTTGGCTTTTAATGAAAAGGCCTATTTTTTTAAAAAAGTGATGCCTCTACTGCCCTCATTGGAACTGGGCATGATCAGGAAGCATGGTACCATTTATCTGTGTTGATTTTGCTAATTCTTTGCATTAACAGCTTGTACATTAAGAGTAAACTTTGTGACTCATTACAGTATTGGAATTTTCCAGGGCATGTTTGGCATAAGCAAAAAGTAGGTGTCACTTTTGTTAATTCCTACTCAGATACTCATTAATCATGTAAAAGGACTTTAAAAACTCTTTCCTAATTAGTCATAAAGAGAACTCTCGTGCCCTAATGTGTTAGGAGTTGGGCTGCCAACCTCGAAACATATGGTTTGAATCTACCAGCTGCTCTGAAGGAGAAAGATGAGCTGCTTTCTCCTGTATGATTTCCTGCCTCTGAAAACTTACTAGTGGATCAGATGTGAGTTGGTTCTGACTCAGCAGTACATAACAACATTAATTTAGTCATGAGGTTTTTTAGTTGATTTTTAAACGTACTTTCAGATTTTCACCAAAAGAAAGGATACAAGAAAAGCTCTTATTTCTTTGATGTCTGTGTTGTACTAAGCCTTGACTTTGTTGCAGATGGATAATGCTCAGGACCTGCTCTCCTTTGGGGGTCTCCAGGTGGTAATCAACGGACTGAACAGCACAGAGCCCCTGGTGAAGGAGTATGCGGCATTCGTACTGGGAGCTGCCTTTTCCAGGTGAGCAGTGTGCCTGGATTTCTCATTGACTAGCATTGTTTGGGCCCTTCAGGTGAAATCTAGCTTAATATTTGGCCCAATTGGATGAAATTAAGTTTACCGTTCAACTCTCACACATCTTTATTCACATTTCAGAGTTATTCCAAGAGAACTAGAGTAAGACTTTGCCCTCATCTCATATAGGTATGGAATTTTACATATGTTGTCCACATCTATAACTTTCTTTTCTCCTTGTCTTTTATATATATGGATATTTATTTGGGTCATATTATGCTTTATTCAAAGCTAATAAATTAGATTAACCGTATATAGTAGAGAGAGGGAGAATAAACCCCAGGAGTTAATCCTTTTGACAGCAGAGCTGTATTTTATGATCAATAAATGATGAACCGGACCAAGAAAAGTCTCTTGGGGGACAATGTGTTCTTCTAGTTATTTTTGAACCAATCAGCATACAGCAAAGTTATTGTCCCGAGTTGAGAGTTGTTTAGAATTTCAATTAGTCTGGCTGTGCTAGAAGACTGACCAGGGAAGAGAAGGCAGCATATCAAAAGAGTGGATGCAGAAAGATAATGTGATAACTCATGTTAAATGAGGGAGCTCTAGTTATCTAGTGGTAAGGGGCTGCGTTGCCAACACAAAGGCATATGGTTTGAATCTGCTGGTTCCTCCACGGAGAAAGTAGAATGGTCTATTCCTGTGCAGTTTACAGCCTCTGAAAACTCACTAGGTGGTTAGCTATTAGTTCTTTCTGACTCATTGGTGCTTAACAACAGCAATGTGCTAAAGAGATCATTGATCCGTTGGAGCTATAATTCTTCCCATTTTTAAAAATCTTCTCACTGGTACCGCTAAAATGGAATTATTTTAATCCTTGAAACAGTTATATACTGTAGTTGCTAGGTGCCATTGAGTCAAGTACAACTCGTAGCAACCCTATGAACAACACATCTGAACCCTGTCCTATTCTGTGCCATCCTTATCATCTCTGACACTCTTGAGCCTGTTGCTGCAGTCGCTGTGTCAGTCCATCTCACTGAAGGTCTTCCCCTCTTTTGCTGGCCCTCTACCTTTCTAACCATGATGTCCTTTTCCAAGGAATAGCTTCTAAAGCTTCACTATCCTTGCTTCAGGAAGCATTTTGGCTGCAGTTTTTCCAAAACAAAACTCAAAGGCATCAACTCTTCTTCTGTCATTATATTGATTGTCCAGCTCTCAGATGCAATGCAAGTGATTGGTTTGAATCAGGCATACCGTAGTCATCAAGCTAACACTATTGCTCTTCAGTCTTTTGGAGAGAGGTCCCAAACAGCCTACTTTCCCATTGCTATATCTCTCCTGATCTCCTGACTGCTGGTAAAAAGGGTGTTGATTACAGATCCAAGTTAGATGAAATTGTTGGCAACTCCAGTCTTCATCTATAATGATGTTTTGGTAAAAATTTTCAATTTCTTCTTCTTTGGCTCTAGATGTAGGAATGGCTATTTGAATAACGAGTTATGGCCAACATTGAGAAGAACACTTTTTTGTGCTCATGTGTTTCTTTACCTAGATCAGGAGGCTGTTGTGCGAGCACAGCAAGGAAACACTACAGGGTTTAAAAATAAAGAAGGGAATGTGTCAGGCCTGTATTTTCTCTCTATACCTATTTCATCTGTATGTTGAGAAACTAGAGTCTGTGACGAGGAATGTGGCATCAGGATCAGAGAGAGACTCATCAGTAACCTGCGTTATGGAGATGACACCTTACTTGCTTAAAGTAAGGAGGACTTAAAACACTTGTTGCAGAACATCAAAGAATACAGCCTTCAATATAGATTACACCTCAATGTCCAAGAAAACAAAGATTCTTACCACTGCACCTATATGTAGATTGTGATAAATGGAAAAAAGATTGAAATTGTCAACGACTTCATCTTACTTAGATTCATAATTAACAACCTTGGGACCAGCAGTCAGGAAATCATGAGATGTGTTGCACTGGGAAAGGCTGTAGTTAGGGACCTCTCCAAATTTATTGAGTAGTAATCATGTCAGTTTGAGGACTAAGTGCATTTGATTCAGGACATGGTCTTTCTGATCACTTGCTGTGTATATGAGAGCTGGGCAGTGAATAAGGATGACAGGAGAAGAATTGACACCTTTGAGCTGTGGTGTTGGAGAAGAGCACTGAACATTCTATAGACTGCCAAAAGAACTCTTTGGAGGTAAAAATCAACAGGCTTTGCCTCACATACTTTAGGTTTGTTGCTAGGAGGGGCTATTCCTTGGAGAGGGACCTGATGCTTGGAAATATGGAGCATCGGTGAAAGAGAGGAAGAACCTCACCCAGGTGGATTGACATGGTGACTGCTACAATGGGCTCTAATGTGAGGATGGCATGGGATAGGACAGGGTTCAAATCTGTTCTTCATCGAGTTTCTATGGGTTGTGCTTGACTTGACAGCACCTAACAACATCATGATGTTGCCTGTTGGTCTAGTGGTAAGGATTTTTGTCTCCTTGATGTTGACACCCAATCTATATTAATCAGAACCTCAGCCTAATACTGTCTCATTCTAAAAGGATCTAGCGTCTTTCCCTGTAAGTTAAAGGCCAGAGCTGAGTAACCAAGAATATTGTTCTGTGAGGCTGGACTGAGAGTACTTCAGCCTTTTCTCTTCTCTTCTCTGCCCTACTTGATTTTCTGGTTATCCTGTGGCTGTGTGTTTAAGATTCTACTTCCACTGGTCTCATATTTCAGAGCCAGTGTCACTGGGAAGACCTCCCTTGGAAGAGAAAAGAATCTGTGAATTTGTCATTGGTCACTTAGGTTTTAGCTTTGGGAAAGTTCAGGGTATCTCTGTCTTGATGAGACTTAAATTTACCTAGGCTCAACTTTTGTTTTCAACCCAGAGAAAAACTGAATCAAAACATTATTAATCTTACCTAAGACCCTTCTTGGAATTTTTCCTGTAGCTCAAGTACCTTCTTTCTAACTTCAATCTAAACACGTTAGCTTATATGCCTTTGCCATTACGTCTAGAAATACATTTCCTGGGGAAAACTGTGTAGCATCGTGCTGCTGTTCTGTCCTAGCTAAGTAGGACTAACAAGTGACTTGAGAGGCATGCTTTGGGCCTGCTTGGCAAACTATTATGTACTCAGGAGCTGTGCCAATATGTGTCATTATTAAGACTTTTCTGTGATTGTATTAGTGTAAGATTGTGTTAACATTTATGCAGCATCACTAAAATGTAAATAGAGATAAATATAAAATATTGCAATTTAGTGTTTTTGTAGCAAGCAAACTGCTATATTCAAAATGTTCTAGCTGGGCCTTTGATGGCTCACTGGAGGGCCATTACAAAGACAGCATGGTGTGGCGCCAGAGCTTTTGGAAGCCAACAGCAGGCTCCTGAACATCATGAAAATGTCAATGTTTTATGCAAAGAGGAACTGAATGCAAGGTAGGAATATTTCTACACAGAGGCAGGTTTTCAGTGCTTTAGTTTGATTTTCATTATTTACTTTTGATATTCTAAATAACGGCTCTAAATATCTCCTAGTGCATATATGTGTATACACGCACATGTCACACACAAGCACACACAGCAGTGACTGAGTGAGCTCTTTGGTGTATTCATGGAATAGTGAACACTTTGGAATAGAATCGAATAGAAGGCATTATTTGGAAGCCATTATTTTATCATTTTCTGCTGATAATCAAGAGTACTATCCCATTCATCCAGTTGTTGAGTAGTTGGATGACCTACTGGTAAGGAGTTGTGCTGCTAACCCCAAGGTGGATGGTTCAAATCTACCAGCTGCTCCTTGGAAGTAAGATGGATAGTCTCCTCCCATGCAATTTACAGGCTCTGAAAACCCACTGGAAGATCCTATTCAATGGCACATAAGAACAACAACAGTACTATACAGACCACTGAACTGAGTCAGAAAATCCAGGCTCACTTTCAGTCTATATAATTACTGGGTGTGTGACCATATTGTTGTTGTCATGAGCCATTGAGTTCCCTGCAACTCGCAGTGACCATATACACAATAGCTCTGAAACCTGTAGTGACCACACAATAGCTCTGAAACCTGTATTATCCCTGCAACTCGCAGTGACCACACAATAGCTCTGAAACCGGTATTATCCTGAGCCAGTCTCACTGTCTCCAACAAACCTTGTCAATCCATCTCATCCAGGGTCATCTTCTGCACTGTTTCTCCCACCTTTCTCCAAGGATTGATTCTTCCTGGCAGTATGCCCTAAGTATGTGAGATGGAGCTTCAGAATCCTTGCCTCCACAGAGCAGCTTGGTTTCACTCTCTCTAGGACAGAACTGTTTGTTCTCTTGGCAGTCCAGGGTATGGACTAAGGAAGTCCTAGACATATGACTATAGGCAAGTTATTTTTATCTTTCTATGCCTTAGCTCAATTATGTTAAATAGGACCTGATTCACCATTGACCCTTTCATGGGTTGCTGAAGCTGCCAATTGCATGGGAGGAGATTGCCTGTCTTTCTCTCTCAGAGTTGATTCTGATGGATTTCAAATGCCAGAGAGGTATTACCTTTCCATTAGCAGTGCAACTCCCAAGGATTAGACCATTAGAGTTCAAAGAATATTGGCAAAGTGTAATTAATATATCATAGACTGTTAAAAGAACAAACAAGGCAAGCTCTGGCGGCCTAGTGGCAAGAAGCTGCACTGCATTCCCCAGGGTACGCAGTTTGACTCCACCAGATGCTCTGCTGGAGAAGGAGGGACAATCTCCTCCTATACCAGTCAGTTCTGATTTGATGGTACATACAAAATAAATAATTTTTTTAAGAAAAGAAACAAATCTTTCTTGAAGAAAGTGCAACCAATATTCAACTTAGAGGCAAGGACAGTGAAACTTTAGGTCTCGCATACTTTGGGCATGTTTCTGAGAGGCACCAGTCCTTGGAAAAAGACATCCTTCTGGGTAAAGTAGAAGGTTACTGAGAGAGAAAGACCCTCAACAAGATGA